TGAGGGATGCTCGTATGAGGAAATGCTGAGATGAAGGTGTGTGCATTGCCAGAGCAGTGACCTGATTAGCCTTTCAACACTAATTATCTCCGTGTTTTGCTGCAGCTTTTGCTCTCCACGCTCAGAACTTCAGTTCTGACAGAGAAATATTTGCTGGCAGCTCCCGGCGTAGGCATTTCCAGATTGTGACAGAAAGCTCCTGCTTCCCTCCCTCTCCTCGTGCGCCTGATGGGGATGAATGATGAGACAGGATTTGGCTTTGAATCGCTGCACAAATGATGTGACAAATTAATATTTGACATTTCCCCGAGCAGGGCTGCCAGCCTGATGCTGTGCCCTGTGCTCACCCKTGGGTGGGGGTTTTTAGGAAGGTGTGGGGTGGTCTGGGGGATGGAGAGGGGCTGGGTGAGTGTCCAGAATCTCCTGGATGGGCAGCAGAGCTACCCCTGGCAGCCTTTATCAGAGTAACAGTCTTTGAAATGCACAGATATCCTCATTTCATATTTTATCCTAAWGTGAAGCAGTTCTGCTGGAGCRTYGCAAAATGCAGGAGCGGCATTTCCCGAGCATAAATACCATTTAAAATGGTATTTCAAATRGTAATTTTAGAGCTCAGTTGTTGGCACAAGTCCAGATCTGTAAGGGATGCTGAGGCTACAGCTACAAAAGCGTGTTTTCACGCGTGAATGAGCTGCAGAAGYCGAGTGGAAAAAGGTCGTGACCTTATGTTAACCTTCTTTGGTAAACTGTCATTTCTTATTTATATTATTGTGCTCTCATCTGTCACGGCAAGCAGAGGAACTCAGAGACAAGTGAAGTGCTGTGATTAGCTGCTGATGGAAAGAAGCTCCTGTGTTGTTATCAGAGTGATACTGCAGTGGYTGTACCCCATCAGTGGTTTGGGTCAAACCTCGGAGCTCTGGCAGGGTTCCTGACCTCACCCAGGGCATTTTTTGGGCAGATGCCTCCAGAGCCAGGCTGGGACWTTGCAGATCCACCCCTGGTTACCCCAGCAGTGCTGGAGCCTGAGCCCAGGGCGGGTGAGAACTCTCTGAGCACTGGAAATTGCCTTGCAGGAGTTAACAATGGGCTGAAAGGAGCACCGAGAGCCAGAAAGGGTTTATAAATATGGTGACAACATTTAGTAAATTGGTGAGATCTGAGATGCAGCTTATTCTTGTCAAAATC